ATAAAGCGAAAAGGTGGATCTTGTATTTGTTAAAAATAAAATTTTCAAAAGAACTGAACTGAAAACTAACGTTTCGGGGGATGGTGAAACGTTCTCCACCCTCCCCCCCCCTCTTTCGCCGAATTCGTTGAACACACATCGCAAAAGTGCAAATGCATCAGTATCGAACGATCGCTACGTGTTTGCAGCCTCGTCGAAATATCGCAGAGAATAAAGCTTGTTACGCATCACGCTCTGCACGTATTATTTAAGACGGTGGTTCCTAACCTATAATACGCGTAACCCCTGGAGGATACGCGAAGATAATATTGCTAATAGCGGAGAACACGGATGAAACCTCGAAAGTTAAAACACTATTAATCGAATAATAGTGTTTTAACTTGTCTTGTCGATCTGTGCGAAATTTTTTGCAAAAAAGAGTTTCTTTCTTTCTTCAGAGAAATGGCGTCCACGTTCTTACTAAACGAAATGGGCTGCACGTGTGGCATTTCAGCTGAATTACAGTCCATATTATTACATTAATAGTATAGTTATATAGTACGTTACTAGTATACAGCGTATAGTATGTTACTAGTATATAGTATATAGTATGTTACTAGTATATAGTATATAGTGTTATTAGTACATGGTATATGAATATATAGTATATAATATAGTAATATATGATATAGAGCATGGCATTTCAGCTAAATTATAATCTATATTACTATATCAATATAATAGTATAATTACTAACATAGTATATTACTAGTTCATATTACTATACTAATATAATAGTACAATTACTAACATAGTATGTACTAATATATTACTAATATAGTATATACTAGTATGTATAGTATTTACTAGTATATATAACATATAGCATGGCATTTCAGCTGAATTGTAGTCCATATTAATATATAACATGGCGTTTCAATTGAATTATAGTCCGTGTTACTAGTTCATATTACTATATTGATATAATAGTACAATTACTAACATAATATATACTAATGTATTACTAATATAGTATATATAGTATTTACTAGTATATGTAATATATAGCATGGCATTTCAGCTGAATTATAGTCCTTATTAATATATAACATGGCGTTTCAATTGAATTATAGTCCATGTTACTAGTTCATATTACTATACCAATATAATAGTACAATTACTAACATAATATATACTAATATATTACTAATATAGTATATGCTAGTATATATAACATATAGCATGGCATTTCAGCTGAATTATAGTCCATATTAATATATAATTATGGTGTTTTAATTGAATTATAGTCCATGTTACTAGTTCATATTGCTATAATGATATAATAGTACAATTACTAACATAATATATACTAATGTATTACTAATATAGTATATATAGTATTTACTAGTATATATAATACATAGCATGGCATTTCAGCTGAATTGTAGTCCATATTAATATATAACATGGCGTTTCAATTGAATTATAGTCCATGTTACTAGTTCATATTATTATATTGATATAATATTACAATTACTAACATAATATATACTAATGTATTAGTAATATAGTATATACTAGTATATACTAGTATATAATATGTAGCATGGCATTTCAGCTGAATTATAGTCCATGTTACTAGTTCATATTACTATACTAATATAATAGTACAATTACTAACATAATATATACTAATATATTACTAATATAGTATATGCTAGTATATATAACATATAGCATGGCATTTCAGCTGAATTATAGTCCATATTAATATATAATTATGGTGTTTTAATTGAATTATACAGTCCATGTTACTAGTTTATATTGCTATACTAATATAATAGTACAATTACTAACATAATATATACTAATATATTACTAATATAGTATATGCTAGTATATATAACATATAGCATGGCATTTCAGCTGAATTATAGTCCATATTAATATAGAACTATGGTGTTTCAACTGAATTATAGTCCATATTAATATATAACTATGGTGTTTCAACTGAATTATAGTCCATGTTACTAGTTCATAATTACTAATACAGTATATTACTAGTATACTAATATATTACTAGTATATTACTAATATACTACTAGTATAGTATATACTATATAGTACTATATAGCAGTATATATTATATAGTTTGTAGCAGTATAATATATTAGTAGTAGCATACTAGTATAGTATATTGCTAGTTCATGTTACTATATTACTATATTACTAGGAAATCGTTATTTAAAAAAAAAAAAAAA